CGTGTCACAGCTCTGATTCCTCGCCTCTTCCACATGTCTCAGGTATTATTTCATGCTAATTGGGCCTTCGTCACTCGTGTCAATTTTTTACGTATGTTCCACACCCGTTCCTCTCATTGAGGATGAATACATATTGTGTTGAAATATGAATTTAAAGTAGCTCTACCCTTTCGACGAGCTTCTTATTTATTTATTTTTTATTTGAATTTTTAAAATTTTTAAATTTTCCAACTACCTTCAGTGACCTGGTTGTGTCAAAATGTTCCAATTTACTGTTATCAATTTTTAATGGATTTGTTAAAATGAAGTGACTGTTCCAATTTAAATTTTCATTCATTTTAGAATAAAAAGTGATGGTTCGTCAATATTCAAGTGTTTTTACCCTATCTGTACTTTATTTTTAATGAAATTCATTGCAAGTGGATTCAAAAACTTGCAACTGGCCAATTTTATGAAAAAATTACTATTCTAGCTCATATGATTGCCGCTCTCGCCTTCGGCTCGAGCTGCAAACTCATATTCGCCATAAATAGTATATTTCGTCATTAGGCCGAAAAAAACTTTTCTGGCGAACATGAGGTTTGCAGCACGAGCCGAAGGCGAGGGCTGCAATCATTTTCGTCAGAAAAGTTTTTTTTGGCCGTATGACGAACAATATTTTTTGTCATGACGGCCGTAGGCGGAGCCTACGGAGCCGAAGCGGAGCGAATCGGTCCAATCACTTCATTCTAATTCTCTTAGATTTTTTTTTCCGTGAAACGCTGCCCTACGGCCGGAATGACAAAAAGATTTTTTCGGCCTAGTGACGAAATATACTATTTTTGACACATGTGAGACGGGAATTTTCATGAGTGTGAAGTTGGTTCGGCTTTTCCTCGGGCCACTAATCACACGAATCTTGCATGACTTTTTTTCAATTTTCTAATCTCAAGTTTGGGACTTGAATAATTAATTTTTCAGTCACTGACATTTGAAATATTGCTCATTAATTAATAATTAATTGTTAAAAATTGAAAATTTCAAATGCTTTGGAATCGTTAATGACGACACAGACGCTCGAGCGCTGCACCAATCATAGAATGGCTCGAGCCGACCTAACCAACCTTGAGGTGCGCCTCGGCCAATGGAGGACCACAACTCCCCACTCGCTTTTTTTCGACTAATGAAGCTTTACCTGACCGTCTTCGTGACGCCATGACCGAAATATTGCCCTTGAAAACGACTGATTTTCAATTGATTATCACAAGACATCTAGGCAATATTTCTCTATAATTTTTGCCGTTTAGCTATCCATATGTTACGAGGAATGTGTGAATACAGGAATTAGAAAGAATTGAGCTTCATGCAAGTTCCCTATTGGAGGCTTTCGAAAAGCTTAATTCAAGATTACTAAAATGTCAAACAAATTTTTTCATGTCCCAACTAATTTGACACTTGCAGCCATCAACTTGATATCGTAAGTCTCAAAATAGAAAAAAAATAGGGGAGAGTGGGGCCAAATGAAACAGTCGAAAAACAACGTTTGACGCAATTTAAGCAAAAAAATTTTTTATTCAATATTTTTTTTATTAACTTTGATCCATAAACTTTTTTTATTCTTGGAGGTACCAACGAGAATAATAATTTTCCATCAGTAGAATGGAAAATTGATAAATTTTGACGGGAAAAGATTTTTTCAATGGATCAATTGAAAAGAAAATGAAACAGTAAAATCCAAAGTCCAGAGCAAGGCCCAGGGGGAGACCCAGAAGGGGAAAAAGGAAAATGTGATGCTGAATTTCAATCGAATGAAAAAAGAAAAGTGTAATCGGTCCAATTTAATGATTTCAATTATAATCAATTGAATTATAAGACGAATAGAAAACAATTATTCTCATCAGTACTCCCAATAATAAAAAAGTTGATAAACGAAACTTGATAAAAAACTTTTTTTTGCTTGAATTGCTTCAAATAGTCGCTTTTCGGCTGTTTCATTTTGCCCGTCTCTCCCCTAAGTGCTTGCGATTTTTAATAAACATCCTCAATCACTCCCTCCGGTCCCAAAATATCCCAAATAATTTAAAAAACCATCCATTTTGCGCCACTCTCTCCTGCATCGAATGACAAAATTCAACTCACGCATATTGAATCTGAATTTCAAAACTGATAAGTGCAAGGCTTAAGTATGACCCGATTCTCCGTGTAATTATTCGCAAATAGCAGGAATCATCCATTCTCGATAGATCTTTTCTTTAAAAGTGCAATTACAAACATTACCAAGTGGACAAATAACGCTGACCCAGGGGTTTATTGTCATCCTCAGTAATGTAAATACTCCGATAAAATTTCAATCGACCCGGAATAATTTTTCTTCACCATTAAATATTAATTAGTAACACATTAATTAATTGTATTGCAATTATCATCCATGAACTAATGAACGCAAGTTATTCGAGATAAGTAGTAGGGAACTTCGCACGATCAGCCCATCGTTCAACGCGTGATCTCCGCGTGTCGTTTTTCTCTTCCCCCACTCCACCACTACACAACTGGATTCCTCACTCAAAACACACTCCAAGTTTCCACGAATCGTATGATTCAGTGATGCGATAGTAGTAGTGTCAGTCTGTCTTTGTCACACTATTCGACGATTATCTACGACACATCCTAGAAAGGTATGCATATCGACTACTCCAAATTTATTCCGTGACATTCAGAAGAACAAATATCAATGATTTTCTTGCATAATGTGCTACCTTGCACTTAGGGGAGACTACTATAAGTTTTAAAAATCGTGGGTTATTGGAGTGAGACTTTTCATACGCTGAAGATCGATTATATTGATCTGAAAACGAATAATTAGTGCAAAAATTTTTTTTTTTATTTCATGTTCGTTTGCCCGAAAACGCTTAAAATGCCAAAAACAGTTCAGGGCCTCCAATTTTTGAGCTACGAAGGATTTTTTTTTCAAAATTTTCGGAAAAATATGTGGAATAATAATTACGAGCAAGTTTTTTTTAAATTCGCCTCTTACATGGCTAAATTTGCTTTTTTTGTATTTTTTTACACAAATAGTGAATTTTTTTACATGAAAAAAAAAGAAAGCTGTGTAGGAGTCGAATTCCAAAACAGTGGCTCGTAATTGTTGTTCCACACATTTTTCCGAACATTTTGAAAAAAAAATTATTTTGTAGCTCAAAAATTGGAGGCCCTGGACTGTTTTTAGCATTTTAAGCGGTTTCGGGCAAACGAGCAATGAAAAATTTTTTTTTTGCACTAATTATTCGTTTTTAGATATATATCATCGATCTTCAACGTATGAAAAATCTTACTCCAATAACCCACGACTTTTAAAACTCATAGTAGTCTCCCTTTAAGGATATCCAAGTATCTTTTACAGTTTGGTAGAGACCACACTATAGATGCAACAATTTTCAATCGTCAATTTATCAATTAAATTGCATGAGAAATTTTTTTAAAAAACCATGAATATTCTGAGGGTCATTCAAATTACATTTTGCACAGAATTTTTTTTTTTAACATTCGTTTTTTGCAAAGTGATTGAAATTGTTTAAACTTTCGAAAATCTAATTTTTTTAGGCATAAAATCGATTTTTAGTAAAATTCAGAATGGCAATAAATTCGTTACGACTCCTAACAAATGATTTTATGGAGGAAAATTTTGAAATTATTTCAGAAGCGAAGTGGTAAAACGGTACAAGTCAATTTTGACTATTAGCCAGTGTTCAATGAATATCTCGGAATCTAAGGGAGATAGCAAATTTTTTATTATAACCTTTTTTGTAGAGCCGATTGAGAGCTAGAATAAATGTAATTCCGAAAATTTCGCTATCACCCTTAGATTCGGAAATATTCCTCAAAAACTTAACGTGGAGATGAGTCGACTTAAACAGTTTTACCACTTCGCTACTGATTTCATCAATGTTCCTCCACAAGTAAACTGTCTAATTTTGTTCACATTTTTAAAATGTTTTTTAACGGTTCAATATCGAGATTCAAATCCAGACCTGTAAAATTCAAATAATAAAATGATTGTAAAATGTCCGGAAACTTAGGATCAAATGGGGCTCAAATGAAAGCTCTGATGTTCGACTAAAAAAGTAGAAAATTATTTCACTAGAGAAAAATAGCCAAAGTACTTGGATACCCTTAAAGAGAAATTCCAATTTCCCAAAATTCCTTACCAGGAGCTTTCAGGATTCTAGAAATTGACAAGAGAATATTTTCTTGCATCAAGGAAACTTTTTTTTGTCAAAAGTAAATCTTTCTCTCAGTGTACACATTTTGGAGATAATAAATAATGAAATGCGGGCTTCTAGCACATAAGGCACAGGCCAAACGGGGGTTATGGGTCTCCCCAACTCGATTTGTCCATTTCATGTTTTAAAAAAACTAATTCGTGGTAGATGGATAAATTCCGAATACAGTGAATTTTTTGTAAAATTTTGTACTGCATACTTTCTGCGATATTAAACTCTAAAAAATGGAAATTTCGTGAAAGCATTCTTTATTTGATTAAAAAAATTAATCAACAAATAATTTATTCGATCCAAACAATTATTGTTGACTGCATCAACACCACCCGAAAATAGAAGAACTCAATAACTTATGAGAATGAAATAAACTCAGTTATTTAGAATTTTTTCTGTAAATCCATAGGGACTAACTTTTGGGTCTTGTGCTATACCTTAATTCAGAAACTCCGCAGTTATTGTGTCTAGAAGATGAATAATAACTGTAAACAAAGCGGCTAGCTACACAATTGCCAGGTGAATCGTTTGTCATAATTCCCGAAGCACAAACAAACCTTTCGCCGAGTGAATTCCTCGACAAATACATCCCGACTGAAACCCCGTTAGAAAGCCAAAGAAATTGAAGACATAAACTTTACTACATGGTGGATTCACGAGGTGAACTGATGCCTTTTAATAATTTCATTGACACTTTGAGTAGCCAGTGGACAATTGTTTGCTGACTCGAGAAAATTATTAACGACCTACCTATCGCGTGGACGTAATCCTGAGATGTTGATTCTCTGCTCCAAAGAGTGTTATTCCCACGTTGGCGACGATCGGGAATAATTCACAAACAAGAATTAATAAATAAACAAATATCCTTTTAATGCCTAGTTGAAAACTAACTTTCGAGTGGTCGTTTTGTTAATTTAATAGAGAGTGACAAAATATCGGTCCGTAACAACGCACAAGCGGCATGGGCGCGTCGCTAAGGACTAACTGGCGTCTACGGGGGCGAGCATCTCGTTATTATTGAATTGGACCGTCCCCGTGGTCTGACATCAGACCATGTGGCGTTGGCCAATGGGCGACGTTCCCGGGATACGCGCGTGCGCCTCACGCCATCACCCCGGTTGAAAACTACACTCGCCCAGTGGATTTACTAACGCGCGCAAACCCAACTGGCTCTCGTGTGCGCCACTAGAAAAAAAAATCGGAATATCCTACGATTTCCCTGTTCCAACATTCACAGGTATCCCGGCACAAAGGGGGTGTCGATAGCGCGATGATTCAATTTTTTTTGCTCTCCATCATTTTTTGTTATCAGGAGAGATGTTTAATCGCGACTTCTGGTCTAAAAGCGCAAAGTTGAAACATCGGGGTACAAAAGCGCAATGTCTGATAGATTCGAGTTATCACATTTTTTTTTATTGTTGAATATTCTTCGACGTTTTTTTGTTGCGGTGGGGAATTGCCGTCAGATATGTTTGGTTTACGATTTTCGAGACGAATGGAGTTGGGGCTTATTGAGTCATCGGGACACAATGGCAGACGATCGATACTGATATTCGCCGGTCTCAAGGTAACTAGCGGCGCCGGGGCCGCAAACGGACAGGTCGTTGATCATACATGCTTTCCTCCTAGGGTAGGGTGAACAGGCCAATGGCTGGACTCGGGCCAATACCTGGATGATTTCACCTGCTAATGAATATTCTATAGGGGCGAGTGGGGCAAAATGAAACAGCCGAAAAACGACTATTTGAAGCAACTTTTTTTTATTTTTGGGTGTACTGAGGAGAGTAGTAATTTTCTATTCGTCTTATAATTCAATTGATTGTAATTCTGTAGTGAAATGGTAAACTAGAATAAGTGCAATTTGTTTGAAAAATGTTTTATTGCTTTAATCGAAAGTTCTCTCAAACGTGGGGAAATTTTTTAACTCTCCTGGAAAAGTTCCATTTTTGCACTTATCTTAGTTTACCACTTCGGTACAGAATTGAATTGATTAGATTAGGCCGATTACAGTTTTTTTTCCTTTGATTGAAAATCAGCATCACATTTTCCTTTTTCCCCCTCTAGGTCCCTCTGAGCCTTGCTTTGAACTTTGGATTTTGCTGTTTCATTTTGTTTTCATTAATCCATTGACAAAACCTTCTCCCGTGAAAAATTCTCAATAATTTTTCGTTCTACTGAATGGAAAATTGTTATTCTCATTGATACTTCCAAAAATAAACAAAAGGTAATAAAAAAAAATTTAATAACAAATTTTTTTGCTTCACTTGCGTCAAATAGTCGTTTTTCGACTGTTTCAGTTTTCCCCACTCTTCCCTAAATAGTAGAAGGAAAACTGAACGGATTATTATCATTATCAATAATAACACTTATGTATAATCATGTGATGAAGTTCTTGTTCCGAAATATCAACATTACAGTAAAAAAATATTCGGGGGGGTAGGGTAAACAAGTAAATTTCTGGACGATTTTAATTTGCATTGAATATTTCACACGGAGAGAAATATTCAATAGAAATTACGTATCTTTTCCGTAATTCCGAAGCGAAATCTGGTTGTAGGAAATTTTATGGAACTGTCACGGAATTTTTCCAGATCGTTCCGTAATTTTTATCTGAATCTCCTGTGAGAAACTACGAGACCATCACTCAAATTTTCTCAGTCGATTCCGTAATCGGTGAGCGAATTATGAGTTCCGCAATTTTTACTGAACATTTCTCTGCGTGCATAAATAATAAAATGAAAATGGTACTGATTATTCCACTTTTCAATAATATTGCTCATACATAATCATGTGATCAATTATTTTTCCTATTGATGAACATATAATAAATAAATAAAAAATATGGCCCAGTCATTCAGAAACTAGGGGTTTCGGCTGCATTCAACTATTTCATAATTCAATTATTATTTTGTTTTGTTATCTTCACTTCATAATAATTTTCTTCTGCTAATTAAAACATTCTTGAAGATATGGAAGCCATCATATCCCCATTTAGGTGATTCTTTTATTTTAGATCCTACTACGAAACTCGAATTTCTCTTAAGGTGAAACGGAACCCCTGTGTCTATATGAACTTTTAGAGTTGCGTTTTCTCCTACAATTATTTATTTTTACGTATGAAATTACTTCATCGACTCTATTATTGCATTATCGAGTCAATGGAGCAGTTTCATAAATAAAAAATAATAATTGTAGGAGAAAACAATTCTAGAAGTTCCTATATAATAGACACAGGGGTTCCGTTTCACCTTCACGTATGAAAAAATCATATAGAATTTCTATAAGATTTTCGTATATGATATTCGGATATTTCTATACGGATATTTTTTATGTAAATTATTTCTATACGATTTCTATAGGTTTGATCCTATACGACCCGCTGCCACATGTATAGAAACTTTTCATATGGAGTTGCGACATTTCTCTACGTTTTTCTCTAGAGCATTTAAACATCTTTCGTATGAAAACGAAAATTTATGTAAAAATTTATGTATAGAAATAATCATATACAGCAATCCTATAGAATTTCTATACGCAATCCATAGAGAAAATTTCTATGCGATTTTTTCATAGGTATTAACCATCCAGCAATGGGCCTGTTTACCCTACCGTACTGGGTGGTGTGGTGCTGCCATTTGCTAAATATCAGTGACAAACTGTTGTAGATAAAAAAAGAAGTTCTCTTCCGAAAAAGTCAACTATGGGAAATAGCACAATATCTTCAGGAGGAAAATCATATCCCGAAAATTAAAAATCGATTTGGCCTTGTACTTCTTCACATTCAATAAAACAAAATTGTATTGGCCATCCACCGTTCATCTATTGGCTCTAGCGTCCAGTTATGGGGGATTTGGAGGATACTCCACTTTTTCCTCATTTAATTATTCTTCTCTTCATTTTTTCCGCTTCAATTATTGTTTTTGCCTAATTTATATATGAGGTATTCCATGCCAAATGAGTCAACGGTTAACCCTCACCCTCTTGAAAATTGATGGCGATTTTTTCTACGATTAGGGGGCTTGAAAAACTATCTCTTAAATTTTTTCAGATTTTTTTGACAGTCCAGTTCGGAAATATGATATTTTTCAAATTGTTCCGTTTTTTTTTACAATAACTCGAGTTCTACTCATCCGATTTCGATTTATTAGGGGGAAAAATTTTCCATTTTTCATCACCTATAAGAATGTTTTTTTTTAATTTTTTTTTTCAATCTTTAGATGCTTGAAATAACGAATTACCGAGAAAAAAAGTTGAAAAACTTGAATTTTGCCAATTACGTCGCGGTCGATTATTTTAAATTTTTTCAGTAATTCTTATAATGAAAATGAAAATTTTAAGCCGTCATACATGTTGGGTTCCATCCAGGATCTATTTTTTTTTTAATTTTTTTTCTTTTTAAAATTGCGAAAATTTGGTGAAAACACTTTAAAACTACTTTAATTATGTATCGAAAAGATATGTAATATATAGGTATATATTTAAATTTACTTCATACTGTTTATAATCAAAGTCAACCAATGACATTTTGGGGTATTTTGACCGAATTCGCGGAATTTTGAGAATAAAAAATTGAAAATAAAATAGATGTAAGACGAAACCCGACATGTATGACGGCTCAAAATTTTTGTTTTGATTATAGGAATTACTGAAAAAAAAATTAACATAATCAATCACGACATAATTAGTCAAATTAAAGTTTTTTCTTCGAAAATTCGTTATTTCGAGCATCCAGAGATTGGAAAAAATTTGGACAAAAAACATTCTTATATGTGGCGAAAAATGGAAAATTTTGATCCCTAATAAATCGAAATCGGATGAATAGAACTCGAGTTATTGTAAGAAAAACGAACAATTTGAAAAAAAATATCTCCAAACTGGGCTATCAAAAAAATCTTGAAAAAATTAAGGGATAGAGCTTTTTCAAGCCCCCCAATCGTAGAAAAAATCGCCATCAATTTTCAAGAGGGTGAAGGTCAGTCGTTGACTTATTGGGCATGGAATACCTCATATTCTTTCATGTCTAGAACTCATTTTTTATTCATTTAACTACTTCATCGATTTGAAATGCTTTAATGCAATTTTACATTTCCTTAACCGCCAAGCTAGTGGCCTGTTTACCCTATATCTCAAAACAGTACCACCTAAAATTTAGTCTCTATGGATGTCTGGAAAAAATTCTAAATTACTTAATTTATCGCATTTTCATAAGTTATTGAGTTTTTCTATCCTCATATATTGTCGATGAAAGCAACAATAACTGCTTCAATCAAATGAAAAATTATTTGTTAATCAATTGCTGGAATCAAATAAGAAGTGAAACACCACTCGAAACGTTGGCATTAATAAATGGATTTTTTGTGTTAATTCATTGAGGACGTTGAAATAACCGAGACCCGCAAAGTGGGCTGGAGAAGGAGGAGAAATTTTGAAATTAATGCAGGCGGTTGGAAAAATAATTCAGTTCAAATAAGAAGTGATTTCACAAAATTTCCATTTTTTAGAATTGAATATCGCTATACCGAAATGGCCTGTTATGTCGGTACACCCTAGTCGAACGAGAGATTATGATTTTAAAAAATAACTGCAGAAGTAATTTGATAGATTGATTTCCTGCACGCCTCAAAGGTAGAAATTATAGGAAAGATTATTAATGATGAATGATTTCTATTTTTGGCTTTTTGAATTTATTGTTCCTCGTTACATGCAACGACCCAACAGGAATTTATTCATACCACTTCAATGTTAGATTTCAACTTAACATGTATGAAATTAAATTTTTTTTTTCGCTCAATTGATACAGAATTTACTTTTGTAAAATTGAGTTTTCGCAAGATTCCGAGTTCGAACTCCGATCGGGTAGAATGGTGAGATCTAACCATTTTCAAGTCTTGATCATCATCGCAATGTACTCAATCGAGTCGAAGCGATGTAAAATAACAATTTAAAAAATCGAGTTTTTATGGTTTACTTCAA